AGTAGCCATAAATATTTTAGCCAGAGTGTTTTCTTTCCATTTTCAATCAGTTGTGCCCTAGGAAAACTGGTAAGTTTCCAGAGTGCAACAACAAAGTGTAAAGAGAAATAAAAACTTTAAAGAAATATTAATGTATGATGCAATTTTAGTGTATATCTTCTATAATTTGTTTAGATTAGCTAGGTTCTCTGAAATATCTTGTTAATTAAATATCAGTAAAATAATCTAAGTGGATATCTTTGGATAGGAAGCTAGGGCAGAAAAGTTTGTAAAGGCAAAAGCTCCAGAGTAATTGGCTTAAAACCAGAATATAATCCACTGTGCCAAAATAGTGGGAGAAATGGCTGGAGTATGCATTATGTGTTGTGTTCTCTCTTTACATTGAAAGGAAAAAAATACTATAAGTAAATTTGTACTATTTTATTTTTAAATGAAGTTATTATTCTAATAAGAATGGCATACTAATCATAATTTCTTTTTCAAGCTCTTACTGTATCTTTTACATTATCAAAGAACCAGCTGCACTCGCAATTTTAATTGCAAAGAAAGCTTAAGTGGTCATGTTACCAGTTACTGACTCCTGAGTCTGGGATCCTATTGTGTGCACTGTGATGCACACAGCACTCCCAAACACACCTGGCTCTGTGCTTTCTGAGGTGGCCATCAATCAGTACTGCTTAAGAAATTGAAGGTGTGGTGCCATAGCTTTTTGAAAAAGCAAAAATGTACAGACTTTCTCTATGCCCTTTCTAGTGTGGCTCCAATTCCAGGCTATTTGGCCTGCAGCATTAGTGACAATCTATGTGTTTCATCTTCAGCACACATCCCCGGGTCCATTTCCTGATTTGTGATTGGCTGCCAACTTCTGTAGCTACAGTTGTACCTGCCTCATATCCCTTTTGGGAGTGCTGTGCATAAGGTGCAATTCAAAAATACTTGAATGATTATATTTTCAAAAAAGTATGACAATAAGAGACACATTGTCATTAGTCTCCCTCAAAATACTCCTCCTGGCTTCAAACACACTTATCCCATTTTTCTTGCCACTTACTGAAGCAATTCTGGAAGTCTGAAGCATCTTCAGTTGCACTGTCTCAGCTGCCTTGATGTCCTAGTTGATTCAAAATATTTACCTTTCATGGTCATTTTGACTTTGGGGAAAAGCCAAAAGTCACATGGTACCAGTTCCAGTGAATAAAGTAGATGAGGACACACTGTAATATTTCTAGTTAACAGAAATAGCCATAAACATTTGATCAATGAGAGGTATTCCAAAAATATGGTGAATATTTAAATTTTAAAAATTATTACAGCAAAAGACATTGCCATGAATCCCCTCTAAATACTCTCCCTTGCTGCAAATACACTTATTCCATCATTCCTGGTAATATGATTTTACTGTAATAATTTTTTTCTTTTAAGCAGTCAACATATTCTCCAATTACCCCTTGTGTGTACATACTCATTTTAGAATAATATGCAGCCTTCTTGCTCCTTTGCACAAGATCCCTGGGGGCATCCTGTTAGTCATCCTCATGAGTTTGTTGTCTATTTCTCAAGACACCTAACAGATTTCTCTGATTGCCAATTAAACTTGGTACCAAGTACATACAATTTAACGAACATAGTTCTTACATGTCTCTATTTGGGATGTAACAGATTCTATGTCAAAATCAATTCTTTTTTTCACCTCAAAATAGGGCCCCTAGCCACAGGACTCTAGTCAGCAATGGCCTTTGGCATGGACCCTGGTCAAAGGCCTTTAAAAAAATCCTTTCTTTCCTCTCCTTTTCTCCATCCTGCTATATCAACTAAAAATGCGCTTTAAAGAAAAAGGCCATTGTTTTGGGTGTCACATTTCTCCTTTGCAGAGTCCGTCATGTCACTCACTCCTTAAATCTTTAAGGATTTGCCCAGGTGCCTGGAGTGAGCAAAGCTAAACTTGCCCAGTAGAGATGTGCTCACCCGGATCTAAATCCTTGCATACCCCTCAGCCCTTCTTCCTGACCTGGGGCACATTTGCAATCTGGCACAGTAGCTTGCATAACAATAGATCCAATGGCCTAATTTCATCCTTGAATTCCTGCAAAACTCATTCAGCTGCCCTCCATGCGATAATTTATCTAGATTTATTGTGTCAATTTGACAGAATAGCTCAGATACAACCAATGCAGTATTTAATATAATCAATCTTCCATTTCTAGGAAAAAATACAGGACTGGCAATCTATGATCTTCTTCATTAAAAGCTAGGGTTTAAGAACACCCTCATGAGAGTCATCATTTCATCCCTTGGAGAACTCTACATTCTTACATTATCTGTGCTCAGCCCTCTCCCCTGAGTTAAATTGTTCTCTCTGATTCATTGAAAGGAAGTTGTATTGCTCTTGAAGACTCACATATAATGCTTCGCAATTTCTTTGCGTTTTGAAAACTACCTTCTTGCTATATTATTACTAATCTCCCATGCTTTCCAAACTTTTTGGTTCTCATTATTGGAAATATGCTTCCACTTAAGAAAAGAAACTAATTATTGCCTGACATAAAGTGTTTGATATCTCCAGTTATCCATGCAATTGGGAATACATGGATATGAGATAATTTTGAACAAGGTGGTTTTTACAAAACCATTATATTTTTGTAATAGCTACTTGCTCTAAAAATAGTAAAAAAAAAAAAACCCTTAATGAATACATGTTCAAAATGCTAGGGACGCTTATTATACTGATTAATATCCATTCATTAATATAACAAATCCATTGATCACTAGTTTTGTGTTAAACAAAAGTGCTAGACACTAGGAATTTAACTATTCAAAAGAATCATTTCTGCCTCCCAAGGTTCTCACAGTATGGAGTGACATTGCAGACAATAAAATAAACAAATCAAGGTCACTTCTTGTGATAAATGTCACATAATCGGTAAAAGTGGAGGAGGGAGAGATGCTTATCTCCCTATTTAAGGCAGAAGCTGTTTTTAGAGTGAGGTGAATAACGGTATTGATCAGCATCCTGAAGAGTGGGTGAGAGACTCCTGGACAGACCCTGGGGGAAGATAGGGGCAGGAGGCATAGAGCAGAATGGCAGCACTACAGCTGCAGAAATGGAAGCAGCTTCTGCCGCCTGCCTTGCAAACACAATGTCCCAAGTTCGATCCCCGGTACCAAAAAAAAAGAAAGAAAGAAAGAAATGATAGCAGTTGAGACTGAAGGAGACAACTAGGTATGCCATGAGAAAAAATTGAAACTTCATCCTGTGGGAAAAAGGAGATGAGGAGGATTTGAAACATGATATAACATGGTCAAATTTAGGATATAAGTGTGCAAGCAGAGGGATCATTCTGGAAGTTATTACTGTGTTAAAGCAAGAGCCCATAGAAGCAATGACCCTGGAAATGGAGTGAAGGGAATGGATTCCATATATAGTGAGGAGAGTTATTTGACTCCTTCAAATGTTTGTTCAACAGTGGTGAATTAAGAAAGAGCAAGAGATCAAGGTGAAGGTGACATCTGCTCCAGTATTCATTTTTTGATAATAGGGTAATTCTAACAACTAGAAGGGGGTGGAGGAGGAAAAGCAGTTAGTATTAGGGTTGGTCTAAGTGTTATTATGGAAGGGCTCTGTAAAGATTATGAGTCTTATTTTGAACATACTTGATTTTGCATGAGGTATTCAAGTAGAGAGTTTTAACAAATAATTACACAAGCCTGGTATGCAGGCTTAGAAATATATTGGGAGAATCACTAGCATCAGATTGAATCAGTTTTGTATCCTGGCTAAGTATATTCCAGGTGATATACTATGAGAGAAAGCAACAAAAATGAATAGCAAATGGCTCCTCTCTGAAGCCTACTAAGGAACAAAGACAAAATTACATATTATATCTTGGTCTTCACATGTAGCACATATATGAATCTTATTCACATAAGTAATTTATTCTATGTACTAAAGCATTGGCAATACAGACTTTATTTACTTCTCAGTCACATTATTACTTTAAGTAACTCTTTTGATCATTCTTAAGAGTAGCAATTATCAAAGCAATATGATACTCTTTCTGATTCCAAAGATATAAGAATACAGTGGTATCTCAGTTCACGAACTTGACTTTTTCCACTATTCAGGTCACAAACCAAGTTGGATGAGAACTGAATCAAATTCAATTAAAAATTAGGTTCAATTTTGATCTTATAGGGAAATTTGATTCGGTTCTCATCCAGTTTGTTTTGCAACCAGAATCATGGAGAGAATTGAGTTCGCGACCAAAGTGCTACTGTACAGTTCATTCCAACTAGAAAATAATTTAGCTGAAACTCTATACTTCTTACAATATGCCCTTTGTGTGACATTTTGTGGAAGACAAATTTTTTATACATTCTAAATCAATGAACATCTGGCAGTATTTGTGTCAATTTAGGTAAAAGTAGAACTATTCAGAGAGAGCTCTATTTCCCTCTTTAAAATACCAGCTCTCTTCGAAAAGTAAATATATCTTAAATCACAGTTGACTTGTGGGTAGGAAAAGATAGTTAAAATAAATGTGTAATGAAAAAGTCCCCATGGTTACCCTAACCTCAAATTCAGGGATTCTATGACAAGAAGGGCATGTTTAAATAAGTTAGTATGCTTAAATAAGTTAGAGAGACTGGACTCATCCTGCACAAAATTATTTTATGAAACCCAACATTAAAAGCATGTTCTGTTATTTAAATTCATAGTTAGCTAGTGCATATTCTGCTGGCTATCAGCCCATGTTTTGCAAGTGAGATATACAAAGAATAAATTAGAAGATTCTGATATCTCTTGAAAAAAATCAGCTTGAATAGACCGGTTTTCAGAAATGCATGTTGAATTGTACTCACCACCTTTTCTAAAATAGATGTGTTCACATAATGCATGCAGTTGTGAATCCTGTGATTTCTCCAGAATAGAAAATGTCCAACATTATTACTGGCTGTACTCCAAGTGACATCATGTTTTGTTTTCTATTACTACTAAACAGGGAAGGCCATGGTAAAATTTCAGTATTTGCTGTCAAAATGGCTTTAGCCACGTTGTGTGGAGGGAAGATCATGGACAAACTGAGATGTAAGTTATTCTTTGTGTCTCCTTTTGCTTATCTGTGCTCTGTAGCACCGCTCCCCTCCCTTAGTCCTGGCAAGTCCCTCTGCCCATTTGCGTGTTTCCTCATTCTATGAGAATCATTTGATCAATGCAATCTTCTTTGATCTTTGGATTTTGTCATAGAAATACTTTCATATTAGATAAATGTTAATGAAATGGACATTTTCCTCTACTTAAGGGTTATCATTTCAAACTTGAGTATCAGTTTTTTAACCAATAACACAGTGATTTTTTTTCATTTGTGTGCTGTGATTTAAAAAGCTAAGACTCATAAAATAAATCACATAAGATGGTGCTAGGATTCAAATCCTGACTCTTGTTTTTATACCAGTGGTCCTCAAATTTCTAGTATGCTTTTTAAAATAGAGACTTTTGGAGTTCCCCAGAATTTCTGATTCAGTAGGCCTCGCTCCAGTAGAGGTAAGGAGTAAGAATTTTCATTTTGAACTAGATTAAAATGAACCTGATGCTGACGTTTAAAGGTTTCCTTTAACTCTACCTAGTGCTCCAGATCTTCCGAGTTTGGGTTATAATGCTGTGTTAAATGGGCATTGCCATGGGAATTGGGAGTTCCAGCTATGGGACTAATTTGCTGAGTTACTCTACATTTCTTTATTTCACTTCTTTACTCCTCAGCTCTCTTCCACAATCTAAATTTGGGAATTTTATTAATTACCTGTAGTGTCACTTCTCGCTGCAGCCATCTGTGACTCACAGCCATAAGTCTCTTTTCTCCCTGGCTGCCTTTCAGCTTCAGAGTGTATCTTTTCCTTCTTGAGCACCAAGAAAAAAAATGAAGGAAAATACAGAAAAACTCTTTGCTCTGTTGGAATTTCCCCAGACACACTTCCAGGGAGTTTTCTCATTGGCCCAGTAAATAAATAAAAGGAACCACAAAGCCCCAGGTGACCACCTGGCTTTCCTCCTTTCCAGGGACTTCCTTCTGTGGGACAGCCAAGTACAGCCAGGATTCAGAGACATCCAGCCAGAACTTGTGAGGGTCAGATTAGTCTTCATTTAGCCGGAAGGACCTAGACAATGACAATCATCTGCCTCAGTGCTTGGTTGAGGGATAATAGCTAAGAAGAAGGTGCTGGAACCAGTGGCCTTAAAGAGCAGGCAGAGAGCTTTGCAGTAATCAGGAGCTATTTCTTTCAGGGGTAGACCAGCAAGAGAAAATTGAGCAAAATAAACCACAGCAGAGAAAGAAACCCCTGAGGGCCTTGCCCGCTCACCTCACATCACAATTGGCCATTTATGCTCAGGGCATTAGATAAATACAAAATAATAATAATGATACTTGTCCAATATTATATTAATTGGTACCTGGATAAAAGGGTCTTATGTTAAAATAAGTTTGGGGAAAACTGATAAAACCAGTTTTCTAAACTTCGGGACTCCAGCCCTTCAAGGTTCCATGTTAATTCTGTGCCCCCAAGGGCCCAGGTCTTCTCCAGTTTCCTCTAAGCTGTCTTCTGCATCAGATGTCATCTTCTTCCTGAGGAGAAGGGGGAGTGGCAGTTTCAGGAGTCTCATTTCACTCCAGCCTTCAAAGGTCATTGCCCAGGGTGGCATCTAAGACCAATCACTAATCCGGTGACTGTTGGGTGGAAAGGCCTGGCCGAGGATCATTCGTAATCCACTTGCACCTGTTGGCCTGGGAAGGCCCACTCCTTTCTCTTAACCAAAGAAAATATTTGGGGCCAAAAAATTGAGCAGTTACCAAGCTCAGGCTGTTTTTGAACAGATCTTTAACAGTTACACGAACCCTGGCAGTTCTGGCAAGTGCCCGAATTCAAAGGAAACAGGGTACCTGCTCTAGTGCTTTTTCCTCACCCTATCCTCTCACTCCAAAAAGAAGTCAGTGAGCAAAACAGGCCTGCTGCCAGTCGGCTGAGTCAGACCTCCTTGGTAGAGCAAAGGAAGCAACCAAGCGTGAGTTCCACTGGAGACAGACAAGTTCCTCCAGTCTGTGGAAACTAGCCTGACCGTATCACAAATTCTGTAGAAAAGCAGGTTGGATGACCGTAATGTATCATGCTCCCCTCTCTGAAAGCAGCAGACATGAATCACAGGTGTCTTCTGTGTCCCTCGTTCTCTGACTGAGGAAGCACTTTTCATATTGCCAATTGTAGAAAGCGAGCTTAGTTGGATTCCAAGTAACTTGGTTGAAACAATTTAACAAAAAAAAAAAAAAAAATGAAGCTGGAAGCAATTTGGTTAGAAGAATCTCTCCCAAATGTTAATTAGTTAAAAATGATTATCTTTAGTCACCAATATTTCTAGTTCCAGTGATAATTATTGGCTGAATAAGCAATTGTGCACAAATACTCTCATAGACAGCAAAGGCTGACTCTTGGTAATTGGGGTTATGGGTACTTTCTAAAGTCTTCTATTGCTGTCTTTCACCTCAGCAATAAAGCAGACAAGGTCATGGATTCCTGCATTAGTTGTGTAATTAAGAAAGAATACAGTGAAAGGACACAGAGATTTTTAGGGTTTGAAGGTTTTATTTTCCCTTCCATAAACTTTTCAAATTCACTTCAAACCAGTATGACAGCTGTGCTTGTTTGGCAGTTTTCCTTTTTGTGCATAGGGATGAAGGATGTTCAGTTTGTTCCAACCAGCCCCTTTGTGTTGGAGAGCACAGAGCAAGAATAATTGGGCGAAAGTAAATTAGAAATTTAAAAAAAACAAAACTAGGAGAAAACAACAGAAAATTGAAGCTTTTTTTTAAATGGTTTAAAATAAAGTAACGATGGCTCCATGTTGCATTACAAATTCCTAATACTCGGGGTTACCATCAATTGATACGTGGTGTTGGCTATGTAATTCCAGGAACCAACAGTGACCAAGCGTAGAAGAGGCGGGGCATCCCCTGCAACCTGAGCAAACTGACTAATGCACTCCTGTTCTGTTCAATTGTTCTCCATCAGATAAGAAACTACTATTTACATGGGTTGAAACACCTATTTATACTTCAGCTTTGGGGCTCTTTAACAGTCCTAAGGATCATAAGGAATTCCAAGTCCACTACTGTAAACTTGGATCATCACGTATGTTCTACATCTGCTAAGGAGAACTTGTTTTTTTGGGTTTGTTGTTGTTGTTTGCTCAGAAGACTAGCACTGTGGCAAATGCCTGTATTTATTGAGTCCCTAATACTGAACTGCCAGGTCTGCCTCCAAGGCTACCTCCAGAGTAGTTTTTCCAACTCCCTGGTCTGCTTTAGATTCTCTAGGAACTACCTGAACATCCTCCAGACACTCTAAACACTCTCAGCAGAGCTTGCAAAGCTCTTCCTGTACCAGCCTCCCCTCCCACATGCCTTGTGTGTACCCCAGGTCCTACCCCAGGAGGTTGCTTGCAGATCCTGAGTGCACTGTGCTTGCTCTCCTCTCTGTGCCTCGTCCTGCTTCCCTGCACCCACTCCCCTCACCTGTACCTGCCTAGCCTATCAGTGGCCTTTACACTTGGCCCTGACTCACTTGTCCCTCTGGAAGCCTCCTCTCAGAGCTTCTGCTCCATCCCACCCAGCCTTGTTCCAGTGTTCACACCATGATGCCACAGTCTGTGATGTTCCGTCATGTACCCAGCAAGCCCTTCTCTGCCACTGTGATGCCCAGAGGGCAAGAACTACATCCTGACTTTTCAGTACATTCACTGCTTATCAGAGTCTCACACATTTAGTATGAGCTATGTTGCTTTTAACTGAAAGAATCAATGAATGTAAATTCTTCTAAAGTATCTATCCTTGCATGGTGCTATAGGAAATACAAAAGTGGTTTAGAATTTGACTTTGAACTTTTATAGGAAATCCCATAGGGGAGGCAAAGCCTAATATCTGAAGTTCACAACAGAATAATACAATATGAAATTAATACAGTGTCTTATGTGCAAACTATCACTCTAAGTGCTTTATAAGTAGCAAGTACTTCTATTAAGCACCAAGTACTTCTATTAAGCAATTTAATCCTTGAAATAGTCATTCATATATATATATATAAAATATACATATATATGTATCATCATATTACACAAAGCCCAAAACTAAGCTACAACACATCATTTTGCTAGGTGTTTCAGAGTCCCTTCATTTCTTTTTCAAAATCTGAGTGGCCATTTAACAGCCATTTCCCATTCATCACAGCAGTCTAGCCCTAGATGACTGTTTCTTAGCAGATCTCCATCAATATAGATGAAATGAATATTAATTTCAAGTGTGTGGAAAGTCACTATGGATGCTCCTCCTTTTGCTCTGGTTACAGATGTGGTCTAAATTCTTCATGGGTGATTGAAAAGCTTAGGCTACTTCACAAAATGTATACTGATCTGGAATATGAGAGCCTGGAAGACAATCAGGATGACCTTATTATGACTTCTCCCAAAACAAACAATATGGTTCCTCTCTTCAGAAAGTCAATTTACTTTTCCTAGGTTGCTTTTTCTTCCTTTCAGTTGGAATTCTTCAGCTTCTGTTTTTGGCATTACATAACAGTTTTGATATTGGCAACTTCTTTTTTGTTTTTTGACTAGTTATAATGGAACATGACATAAAATGCCCTAAGTAAACAACATTTTGAAGGTAGATGAGAACAACATTAATGTTTTTGTTCAGATAGAATTTCTTTTTTTAAATTGACAAAATTTTATGTATTTATCTTGCACAACATGTTTTGATGTGTAAATACATTGCAAAATGGTCAGATTTATCTAATTAAGATATGCATTACTTCACATAATTTTTTTCTTTTTTATTTGCTTTTTAAATTTTTTATTTTAATGTAATATAAGTAGATATAAATAAAGAAAATATAAAAACATTGTTACTTCTATGAAAAAATAAAACAAAATTTCATAACAAAATAGAGAATGATTAAAATAATGTGTATCATTATCTTAAAAGAATGTCCAAAATGTTACTCACAGTACAAGTTATAGACAAAAAAAAAAGGTTCTCACTTACAAAACAGAAATAAACAAATAAAAGGACAAAACTTTCTTTTCAAGGAGCACACAAATTTAAATATCACATGGTTTCCCCTACATGAGAAACTCAAAATATATATACATACAAATAAAGAGCAAAATAGAAGATAGGTAAATAGGAAGTACAGAGAAGTTCAAATAATTCCCCAAATTATCTATTCTGTTGTTTCAAAAATATTTCACAAAGTTATTTGGATAATCCATGGTGATAAATCTTAACATCTATTGTCTTTGCTGTTTTCAAAAATACAGTATGATGTCCTTAACAACAATCACCGCGCCATGCAATGTATCTCTTGAACTTGTTCCTCTTATCTAACTGTAGCTATGTATCTTCTGATCAACATCTACCCAACTCCTTCACCTTGCACCACCACCACCTACCTTCAGCCTCTGGTAACTGACGTTATACTCTCAACTTCTGTGAGGTCAACTTTTTTACATTTCACATAGGAGTATGACAACGCTATGTTTAATTACCTGGGCCTGGCTTATTTCACTACACATAATATCCTTCAGTTTCATCCATGTTGTTGCAAATGACAAGATGTGCTTCTAATTATGGTTAAATATGTATCATATTTTCTTTATTCATTCATCTGTTGGTGGACACTTAGATTGATTACATTTCCTATTGTAAACAATGCTACAATACACAGGAGTGCAGATGTCTCTTCAACATATTAATTTCATTTCCTTTGGGTATATACCCAGTAGTGGGATTGCTGGGTTATATGGTAGTTCTATTTTTAATCTTTGTGTTACCTCCACACTGTTTTCCATAATGAATCTACTAGTTTATATACCTACCAACAGTGTATGATTTGCTTTCTCCAAATTCTCTCCAATACTTAGTAATCTTTTTGATAGCAGCCATTCTTACTGGAGTGAGATGATATGTAATTGTGGTTCTGATTTGCATCTCTCTGATGAGTAGTGATAGTAGGCATTTTTTATCACCTATCATTCATTTGTATGACTTCTTTTGGGAAATATCTATGTGTATCTTTTGCCCATTTTTAATCAGGCTGTTTTCTTGTTATACAGTTGTTTGAGTTCCTTATATATTTTAGATATTAACCCTAGATGAATTTCTGAAGTCTCATAATTAATAAACTATTTGAAGCATGGTAGAAATCCTTTGTAATTAATATATTTAAGAAAATGATAGTTAATTCACAACCCCCAAAACATAATCCAATGAAAGACTACAATATGTTTACTAGCATTTAATTGCTGTGTAAAAGCAATGTTCTCATATTACATTTTGACCTTGGAAATTCAAAGCTTAAACGTATGAATGTATGAATATACATTGCATTGACAACAGTTTACCCCAGCAACTCCTCAGGCCCAGTAACAATCTGGCTAACATGGTGATAAATTAAAACCTTTCATTTTGACAGTGATTTCCAAAGAGGAAGTATAAAATACCTTGAGAAATTATTCCATTAATATTCATTAAATCCATATAGTAGCAGCAACTGAAGACCAGAGGTTCAGTGAAAGAAAAGCACTTTTGAGAATAATCCAAGACCCTGACCTCACCTCAGGGATCATCCACAAGGCCAGGCTTCCTCTTCACTACATGAGTCAAAAGACCCTTTCCCATAACTCAAATGCCTTCCACCCAGAATGCTACGATTTAAAGCAAGTTTTCTGCTTCTGTTAGAAGTTAATCAAATGTTTTTGTTACATCCTTATCCTTGTTGCAGCTTTCATTTTTCAAATAACTTAAATCAAAACCTAAATATTTTGGTGATTATATAGATGAATAATTGTTAAACAGACAGACACACCTCCAGCCCTCATTGTGTGTTTCAAATGAGGTCAACATCCACCTCACATATATAAAAATCACCCTTATTGAGTTATATGAGTTGAGAATTGACCTAAAAATTAAAAATGTAGCATTCTCTGACCTATCAAAATATGTTAATTTTACCCAAAATACCAGTTTATGTTATGTGCCAGTTTTCATCTATGGAAAAACACCAGAGGAAACACCATGCCAGGAATATTTAAACATAAAAATTAGCTTTTATAGTATTTTTTCATAAAAATAATACACTTATTTTTGTTCTTAGCAGCAGATATGTTGACCTAAAATAGTAGAGAATGTTCGTGTGATGAATAAATATCTTCATCCTTTCCCTTTCATCAGATATTTTCTCAATGATTTCTGACTCCAGCGGAGTGATGGTTTATGGACGATACGACCAATTCCTTCGGGAGGTTCTCAAACTACCCACAGCAGTTTTTGAAGGTCCTTCATTTGGTTACACAGAACAGTCAGCTAGATCCTGTTTTTCCCAACAGGTAACATTTTAAAGGGACTATCTCTCAAGCAGTTGCTGCTCTCCTTCTGCATGTCATTCTCAGCCACAGATGTCCAGACAATTCTAGAATGTATCTCTAGCCTCTGACAAATGACCTTTGAGCCAGTTAATCACCTAGATCATAATAATAGCTGGTGTTCACTGACCGTGAGGCAAGCACCATACTAATTTCTTTACTTTTGTCATGTAATTTCAACCTTACAACCTCAGTATCATTAGTATTAACACTGCACTATCAAAAGGACTGAACTGTCACTCAGCCTCACATGAGACATATGCCTGACCCAGCACCAAGTTTTACCAATGTTCAGCAAAGGAGAGAAGAAAGGAGTCACCACAATGCAACCTGGGTGGCCCAAAGCATGGCAAACACAGCTGCCTCAATCTGCCATGATATAATGCATTTAGAGTTATGAAGGATGTGTTCGAATGGGGCATGGCCTAGGGAAAGCTGCTTGGTTTGGGGGTCTCTCCATGTTTGTCCCCCTCTGGTCATGTAGAAAGAACTACAAGCCCACTCTCCAGCACAGTGCAGTAGGTTTGTTTACAATCTTCTGAAGTTTTGTTCACAATTTTTTAAAAATCCAAGCTACCCAGATATACCCTCTAAAAGGACCCCATAAATAGAAAATCAGTGCAAATAAAATAAAAATTAGTTTTTTAAAAACAGTAGTTTATAGCAACCCCCAGAAAATCCCATTGGTTGTCCAGCTAGTAAACATCATCAGTCTGTTTCCTTCGTGCCCTGGGAGGTCAAAACTGCTTCAGGTATTCCTATAAGTCATGAATTTATGTAGACTCAAGAGCATATCTATACAATTAGTAAAGAAGACATGGTTTGCTGTACTAAATATAGCCCTGATACTTTATCATGTCACCCAGGAGCCTTTATAACCCTTCTTGCGCCCCCTCATGCCCACACCCAGGTGAGTTTAGAGGTTCCTGTGTGTTCCTCCTAACTTCTGTCTCCAACTAAGCCATTCTCTTCTTTCAGTAATTTCTCTTCGGAGTTAGTACTTCTACCTAGCTAACCATACTCCCACACCCATTATCCATCCCCTCTTCCTCCCTCCCTTTCCCAGCCACTAAGGCCCAGTATTCTACTTTTCCCTTTTCTGAAATCAACTACATCAGCTTCTATGTGAGTGAGAACATGCAGTATTTGTGTTTCTAGACCTGGCTTTTACTAACTAAAAGAGAATTATACGTAATCTTCTCGTGTTAAAAATTCCCTTTTAAATAGCCAGTGGACTGTCCCATTATATCATCATTTATATATCCCTAAGGATGAGAATTTCTACATACATATTTCTTCATAATAACATTTTTGGAAACATCTGGGAGTGATTTTTAGCCTGTGAATGATCAAAGCGGATAAGATCATTTGAAATACAAAAAGAAATAACACAAATAAAGGAATAAGGCCAATTTATATCTATCTTATTATTTTTATAATAGCAGTTAAAGGGTAAAATTCCAAAAATGTCTGAAATGCTTCAATGGAAAAAGTCTAAGTCACCCCAAATGACAGTTTTGAAAGACAATATTGTTTAGCCACATAAATCCTGCTGTCTTTTTAAAAATATTATCTCATTATCTATATTTTATATAACATATATTTAATAATAATATTGATGTCAACCCTTAAACTACTTAATATTATGAAGACAGACTGAAATTATGAATTTCTGCTGGTAATAAGAGATCAGTGAAGGATATTTATTTAGTGAATTATAAGAATTAGTGTAAGTTACAGGCTTAAAAAGCGCAATATACCTCTTCTAGATTGATTTATTATTTTAAAATATTAAAATTTTACCCACTTTGATATACTAGTTCAAAATGTCAAATACAATAGTTATTTCTGCATATAAATGTGTAACTTATTCATACTAATACAAAACATATTAACATCACATTATTTTTGTCACTTTTTAAAGAAATTTGAAATAACACATTTTTTTATATATCAGAAAGGACTGAGGAAATGGAAGCAGACTGGATGGAGAGGAAAGATATAGAGAAAAGAATTTAGAATGTTCTCTCCTAACAGAATTGCCCCCTGATTTAGTAGAGCGGAGCCATTCACATTGACCACTAAATATTTATTACTTAAGCTAGTTGAGAAGTTCGAAAGGAAAATTGTTCATAAATTCCATGGAGAGTTTCAATTCTTCCTCTTCCGTCATCTACAAAAGTGGTGCTCTCAGAATTGTTCTACCCCTGGTTATGCTATTGCTCAATCTCAGTGGAAATAATCTGATCTTCTGTAGGTGTAGGCATAAAAAGCAGTATTGTCAGTTCAGAACTAGTTTAATAACAAATTTGGAAATTTCCATTTCTTCATGTGTTAGAAGTTAATAGTATGCTTGTTAACCTCCAATGTTATTTACATAGCAGATAAGTTAAGATTATTCTCCATGCTAAACTTTTGTGATTTTTTTCAATGCAGAAAAAGGTCACGTTAAATGGTTTCCTGGACACGCTCATGTCTGATCCTCCCCCACAGTGTCTGGTCTGGCTGCCTCTCCTGCATCGACTAGCAAATGTGGAAAATGGTGAGTGGCTACTATTGTGCAAAAGCAGTTTATTATATTATTGAAATAGAACCATCACATCTACATTTATTCATCCCATGGCAGTGCTTTAGCGATGTCTATTGAGTGGTTCTTAGTTTTGTTTTGGATAGAACTAAACCCATCTCTCTGACCAATAAAGCCTTATAAGACCACTGCATTTCTAAACACTTATTAAATCTCCTTGTGTAGCTCTGTTATAAATCAAGTGTGTATAATAGAAGAACCTCAATAAGAATGTGACACTAGGGCTGGGGATTTAGCTCAGTGGTTCCACCGCCTGCCTCAAAAGCACAAGGCCCCGAGTTCGATCCCCAGCACCAAAAAAAAAGAATGTGACACATCTAGTGTCAGATCTAGTTCAGATCTGATTTCCCAATATTGATATGCATAGTACTATCTAGTTCAGATCTGAATTCCCAATATTGATATGCGTAGTACTATTTCTTCCAGAGAAATCAATCAGGAATAGGTGAGAGGGATAACAAAAAAGAATTAAATGAGGGCACCTTGCTAATATTTAGTCATATGCTCCAAATTAAGAGTTGTACTTACGCTGAAGATGAGACTTTCATATGGTGTTTTTTAATCAAGTATTTCTAGGATAAAATTAATTACTGTTGGCATATTCAGATTTAAATATGAAATATAATTTAGGACAAGAGTTAACGAACTTTAAACAGAATAATTCAGTGTCTCTATTCTTTACATGTTCTTTATTTAGTGTTAAATAGAACTCTGAAATTTCTTCAGTTGAATGGAACATAATTTATCCCATGAATCTTACTGGAACTGACTGTTTACACATTTCTTTAGTATACTTTGGGGCTAAAGTTGACTTCATTTTAAATCCTCATTCAGAGTTTTTAGCAATTGTTTTTATCATTTCTTTTAATTAAAAGTTATGAATTTATCCTATTTTGCTCATGGGCAAAATTTAAAGAGTGAACTTACTAGTTTTTATGCAATTAATAACAATCTTAGACTTTTTAATGCATCTTATGTATATGCGGAAGTAAAGAGCAATAATCTAGGTCCATATTATGCTGCAGGATGAGTTTTTTTGCAGTCCCAGGACTAGTCATTTTCAGTCATAAAGCTGGAATTTCATTCCCGTTCACTGTCTCAGGGTTTCCTATTGCAGGAGTTCAATTTCTTAGCCACTTGTCCAAGAGCAGTAACTCTAAATTCAAGTCCCAGTCTGTCTTTCCCAAGTGCCAGAAAAGAAAATTTAAGGGATAAATATGGTAAAAGGAAAAAACAGAAACAAAGTCTTTGTAAATGGAGAGGGGTGGAGGGGTGGAGGGGTTGAAGGAGGGCAGGGGAATAGGAAAAAAAATAAGAACCAAGATATAGCATGTAAAGGTACAAATTCCCAATAATGAATGTCATCATATTGTATACCAGAAATGTACCAATAAACTTAATGAATAAAAACAATAGAAATTACGCAGATGTTAAAAAAAAACACTATGTACCCAGAACTGGTTATGTCTACGTACACTTTGCTTTTTACTCTCATTTATTCTTATTTGCATTATTTTTCCTGGCTGCTTAGTCAGAAAATAACTTTATCAAAGGCAAGAATTTTCCTTGTTGTTATTGTTTTAATATCTTTAGTTCATAGCGTGTAAACAATTATTTGGATTTGATCAGTTATTAGCTTCAAATCTCACATATTTTACCTTGCATGTTTTATAGTTCTAATTTCCTAACCCTAAATGATATTTATTGAACTATCTGAATGGTACTATATTCAGATAGGTCACACATTTGTTGGGCTCTATCTACCTTCCTCAGAAAAGAAAAATTATCAGTTAGGTGAAGATAGTATCATTCATTAAGTCAACCATTATTTTTAAAATAACTCAATTCTCTCATCTAGTCTTTCTACTTGCCCCCATGTCCCTTTGTCTTCTGTCATTTTCCATTTATTTAATATTTGCTCTCTGCCCACCGGACAGTTAACTGCGTTCATCCATGTGTTTCTGAGTCTTCGGGAAGCAGTGCTGGTCTCCAGGAGACACAGCAGATTGGGGGAAAGGCAAGGTCAGTTTGGGTAATTTATATTCTTATAGTGTAAGAGATGGGAGAAAAAAGAGCAAATGGCATTACGGAGATTTATGCCATTAAGAGGACGCCTATTCTCCACCTCATTTCCTCCCGCCCCACACACAGCATGCAAAGGGTAGTGAGATTCCAGCAATAAACTTAATGCTTTTCTGAGCCAAAATTGACTATTGTCTGAAGCCATGGCACACAGCAGAAACACGCAATTTCATGGAAGCTGTGTTTTTCTTTATTCTGGTTCATACGGTCATGTTCCTGTTTTTCTTCATTTACCTCCCCCTTAGTCTTCCACCCGGTTGAGTGCTCCTACTGCCACAGCGAGAGTATGATGGGATTTCGCTACCGATGCCAGCAGTGTCACAATTACCAGCTCTGTCAGGACTGCTTCTGGAGGGGGCATGCTGGCGGCTCCCACAGCAACCAGCACCAAATGAAAGAGTACACGTCATGGGTAAGGCGAGGTCTGGGGAATACTTGCAGTTGGGGGTCGGTCCACAATGAAAGGGACTATCAAGCTGTCAAGGACGGTTATAGAATTAAGGAGCAAACTTAACTTCTCCTCCAACACCAACAGTCCTTGAGCCTTCCCCGCCATCTCTGTTTGGCTGGAATCTTGCTTGTGTTATCTGAACCCAATGTACCTTCCTGAGACTTAAAATACAGGAAGCCTCAAACTGTATTACTTCTTGAATATAGACAATTCAGTATTGATTTAAATAACAACTGAATAGCAAATGTCTTCTGGAATATAGTCTTATTTTCACAGTAAGTAAGTTAAAGTTTTCTCCAAGTTTTGTTTTGTTTTTGTGGAAATGGCTGAAAACTATAGTCATGTTTCCTAGACCCTTGAGTACTAAGGGGAAGTATGAGAGTGTGGGCTTAATAATACCGTTCCACTTCACTGTTTTTACAAAGGGTGGGGTGGAGAGATTATGCTTCTACTAGCAAAATCCTCTTTGCATGAACAGTGCAAATGAGCAGCTTGGTAAAGGTGACCTGTGAGTGTCTGTTGATGGGTGTATTTTCAGGAACACGTGGTACTAGGAATGTGGGAGGAATGCAACTTTCTCAGAGTCTTTCCTGTGTGAATGGCTTGTACTTTTCTAACCTCTATGTTAATTGAAGTCGAAGGTCAGCTCTAGCAATATTGTTCTAAGAATGGATTGGTTTTCATGGGATTTACCATCAAGCCTTGCCAATGCCTCTTGAAATAGTTCTATCACAGCAAAATTTTTAGGAGTTTTTCTAAATTTAAATTTCATGTTTATTGAATTCATTAAATATCATACATTTATAATTGAATTCAACCTGTAGTTAGTACTAAAAAAGAATAACTTATTGTTCTTTAAAAAAAAAAAAGAAGGAGGTCTTCAGAATATGCATCTTAAATCAGAATGTTCTTTCCAGCAATCATTACAGGGAACTATAATGGACAACTATAATGCAGTGTAAGTGTATTGGTAATTCATCACATGAAGTAACCGTTCTTCACTAAGGCAGATGATACGGAGCTCCTGTCTCAGGTCAAATGCCACACCCCCATGTGTATTATATCACATGCTGAGGATAGCTGTAGGAACATAATCATGAACAACAATTCAGCACAGAAGATGGGAACAAACACTTTCTGGTTTTTTATTGTCAAAATATTACCAGTTTTCAAACTTCTATCCCAGGTTCTGCAGGGTTGATGTTTGAAGACTGATCATTTTTAGTTGTTTTATGTAAATGCTAAAGCTACATAAGAAACTTCTTTCTTAGGGACTGAGAACTTTGAGAGGACCTGATGGTTCAAGTATTCTAAGAATTACATCTCCTAACAGAAGCACAAAAGGGGACTTTATGAACAATGCTCCTCTTACTTAGCTTTTAAATAATGAAGACAATAGCCACTTCATTATAGTATTACTAATTATGAAACAGAAAAAGGGGGAAAGGTGTAAAAGAAACAAAATTATAAATGGCTTCTTATGCAAAGGGAAAATTTTGTTAGCAATTCATTATCCAGATACAATATTTTGTTATAAATATTTATTATATTTTTATAGTTTTGACGGTTTCATATTAAGATAAACATCTTATTAGTCCAAATGAAAAAGAGATAGCATGACATTCTGAAAAGAACATGAACTTTAAATTTGAAAGACACAGATCGAAGTTTCTGTTTTACTTCTAATTGGATGTACTGGGCCAGGTAGAAGGATCTTGCACCTGGTTCCCTGTAGAAACTTCTGCTCATCTTCCTTTCAATCCTGTTCTCTCCCAAGCTATCTTTTGTTCTTAGGTGGGAGCAATCCTTCTAGAATCAAGTCTCATCCTGTAACTCTGGTGCTTTAAAGTCTTCATTGTCTTGGGCCAGGGATTTAGCTCAGTGGTTCCACCTCCTGCCTTGCAAGCGCAAGGTCCAGAGTTCTATCCCCGGTACCAATTTTGTATGCCTACAAGATTAAGACGTGGTCCTTGACTTGCCATAGAAGGACCTTGGTAACATGCCTCCCAGTCTCTGGACAACATCTCTTCTTCCTTCTCCCTTTGCATTGAACTTGCTGTTCCCTCCATCTGGAATAACCTTCTTAGTCCCCTGAGCTTTTGTCAGAACTCCTGCTGGCCCATTAAGTGGCCCCTTGGGTGTCTCAAGTATAATGACTGCTTCTATTTATCACAGCATTTGCTGTCCCTGAGCAGTAGGAGGTAGATATCTGGTGACTTGTTCCAGCACTCTATTCCCAGCTTCCAGCAAACTTCCTGACTTAGAGTAGGTAATCAAAAACCACTTCTTGGATGAATAGATGGATGGATAGATGGCTATTTTGAAAAGCACATCCTCTGATAAACTGTTACATCAAAGTGAGTTGTTCTTACTTCTACTCTTCTTTTTTTCCAGAAATCCCCTGCTAAGAAGCTAACCAATGCTTTAAGCAAGTCTCTGAGCTGCGCATCCAGCAGGGAACCGTTGCACCCCATGTTCCCCGATCAGCCTGAGAAGCCGCTCAACTTGGCCCACATTGTGTAAGTGTCTCTCCCTGTCACTGGGTAAGGCACATCTTTTTTCACTGGTAAGATCTAGAGCCCTACAGAGGCTATTTTAGATCAGTTGTCAAAGACCAAGTTTTAAAATTTATTTTTAAAAAAAACAAAGTACTGCTATTACTTTGTTTTCTTATTGAGCTACCCCATGTCTTACATGGCCATACATGTGTGCAATGCTAACATAATTTACCAAGAGCCGGAAAAGATTGCAGAAGCTGTGTTATAAAATAAGGATGTTAGTGGAGATTGTACATCTGGAAGTTAACAGTCAATGGAATAACCTTTTTTTTTTTAATTTAGGTATATTTTTCCTTTACCTCATATGTGCTTTGAGTCCCACATCAAATGCCAGAAAAACTAGAAATTGCTTTGTTTTGTTTTGGAGTTTTGATTTTGGTTTATTCTAAGGTACATAACCTCAAAAAAATCTGTGGTATAGCCACAGGAAGGTTGAAGATGGGAACAGGTAGGAAAATTCATTAGAACAAAAAAGATTCTCCCAAACCACTCAAGCCTGAGCAGCCAAGATAGTGAGGAGCTTAGAGAAAAGAAAGTACCACTCCCTTGGTGTGAAATTGATCTCAAAAGAAGAAAGAAGCACATTACCTGTTTCTATGAGGAATAATGTATTCACAGGTTCCCTCCAGAAGTCGCTAAAATACATAGCTCCTCCTCCTTCTAAACCACCTTTTGTTGACAACAGTTCATTGAGACCAACTATATTGAAAGGCCTTTGTTTGCAGGTTGACATTAATGGGTAGGCTGAGGTACCTGCCACTATTAGGACTCACTGATGCAGTTTATGCTTTGTGAAGGCCAGAATATGATCTCCCAGAGACACAAACCGCTCGTGAAAGCAGTAACCCTTTAATCTGATGGGCCTAAGCAAAATACCATCAAATCATTTTTGCTGCATCGTGACTGTGAGCTGTGGGTAAATACTGTAGGATTTTGTGCTGTTTGCTCCTGAGTGATCTTTGAGGGATCACTGACCCTAGCTCACACCCAGAACAGAGGCTCTTATTTCTCAAGCAACATGATCTTCAGAAAACTGATACAAACCAGTTCCGTAGAATGTGGTTTACTTCTTTTGCAAATTATGCTCCTAAAAATAAGCCAGGAGTAAGTAAATCTGGGGACAGTCCCAAGGGGCCAAGCCTTCAAAAATCTCCTTCATAGGAGTTGTTCATATTGCAGTCTCAACATTCCTTCTTATAGCCCACTAGAGATCATCACCAAGTTGCTAGTGAAGCAACACAGCCAAGTGAGAGCAAGCCTGCACTCTATGCACTTTGCCCAGGTCATTTCTGCCAGCCCCCTGGGAGGTTTAGTCACTGGACATGCTGAAGACAGTGTGAGAGGATGAATCTGAGCAGCTTGGTGCCAAGAGCCTTGCTGTAGAACAGAACGAAGCATGCTGCTCCCCACTCTAGAAAGGAAATGAGACATGGCGGATTAAGTCCTTTTTACAGTGCATCACACTGCACATACCTAGGCCAGGGCTTTGTATACAGTAGATGCTTAGGATCAATGAGTGTGTCTATGTGCATAAGTGTGTGTGTATGTGTGTATGTGTGATTTAGTTCAGTACAACTTTTTAAATTCTAATTTAGTGGCAAATAATCTGATGTGTTATTCACTGAAGACTGGGGGCATTATCTGCATAACAGGTTGTTTGGGAGGGATTGTTTCATTTTAGTTTGTTTTGATTAAGGGGGCCTGGGGTCTGAACCCAGGGCCTCATGCATGCTAAATATGTACCCTACAACTCCAGCCCCAACAACAGGTTCTATATTGGGGATCCAACAAGAAATTTCATGATTCTATTAAAGTTCTGTACAAAACATGCCTTTTTTGGAGAAAATTTATATATATATTTAACCAGATTGCCAGAAGAGTTTTTAATCAAAATACTGGACTATATTCACTGTTAAAATATTTTTATAGGGTAAAATATAAATGTGTGACATATGAAATTGTTAAAATAACACACAAGAAATTCTGGATGCAGAATGTCCAGTCTATATTATAATGGAATTTTTCTATTTTTAGATAATAGGAAAATTTTCCTATACATATTTTTTAACCAAATGCTATTGTAATGAACAGTTATGCATGTCTTTTGGAAAGTATTCTAAGTCCAGTTTTCAACTATGCTGCTGACTTGGCTATTCTAAATTATTCTAAGTACATAAAGACTTTAAATGTTAAAATAAACAGCATATTCTTTAATCTTTTTACACATACCCTCTTAATCTGCTATAATGAACAGGAGTTAAAGGATATTTCAATTTCTTCCAAATGTATATACATATAATTTTACATTTGACAAAAATATATGACATTCCATAGCATGTTCTTTTTTTGTAAGCCATTCCATCATTTTTATAGTGTTGTACAATGGAAATAAGTAAAGATGAACACTTGCAAAAATAAAACACACCAATACTCCCAGCCCTATTCATGTCCTTAAGTTATTACTCCAAAATGTGATTTAAGCACACAAGTCTTAAGTAGAAGAAATAGTATCATAGTAGAAAAATATATAATATGAAACTTATTGTTTGGTCCTCTAGCAAAGACCATTCTCAAAGTATATTTCCTTGTGCTTTTCCAAATAATTTCTTAATCAATTAGTTAATTGTGGCACAAGTCATATCTTTCTTATTCCTTGAACACATGTTCATGTAGGTTTTCAAAAATATTCTACTTGGGCCAAGGATTTAGCTCAGTGGTGCTGACCCCTGCCTCACAAGCGCAAGGTCCTGAGTTCGATCCCTGGTACCAAAAAAAGAAACAATCCTACAGGACTGTACTCACATAGATAAGCTCACCCACAAAGGCAAGACGAGAGTAGTGAGTGGAGGTATGAGTAGCAGCAATATTGATGAGCATATTCTGTCATGTTCTGGGTGACTTGAGGTTTAGGCTATTGAGAATTATAGCACAATATAATTAAATATAATTAAATATATTTACCAAATATTAAATATATATTTACTAATTTATTGATTTATTATATGTTAAATTTATATTAAATATAATTAAGCATTATTTTCATTACTATGAAAGTGTGATCATTTTGTAAATTAGTGCAAATTCTTCAAAGATACTAATTAGAAAAAATCACATGATGCATATGTTTACATAAAGAATAATTACATACCCTATTCAATGCTGAAATATGTTTAGTGTTATAAAGCCCATGTATATGGAATTTGATGCTGAACATTATACAGTGTTCTTAAATGCACACATCTTTCTGGATTTATGACTCTATTAAAAAACTGATACTATTTCTCTAATATGGCTGCCCCAATCTTAAACAATAAAAAGTCATTATAACATATATAGGTATAAAATGAGGCAAAATACACGTCTTATGCTTGATCAATACATTAAAAATAAATTAGAAATACTTTCATTACCTAAGTCTCTACTTCTAACTTTTAAATAATGAAAAATGACAAAAATATGGCAGAGTCTGACACCAAAACAGTATTTTGCAAGAAGCCTTAGATATAGTAAAAACAGACTGAATCAATAGAACTTTACCAGGTTGTAGTATTATTGTCTCACACACATCTACACATTTGCATACGAGAAAGAACCATATTGTGCAGAAAATACCATTCCTTTATTGCAGCCAAGGAATTTAATTCACATAGAGTAAAAAGGTGCTGCTGGTCATGAATTTATTCCTTAAATAAAAACAAGCAGGTGGTGACATTTTGGTATTTTCACATTTGTTCTTAGCTATGTGTTGCTTGTAAACGTTGCTATGATTAACAGTCTCTATTCTCTTCAATTTTTCGCTGCCAAAAGTGACACTTGGTAAGTAGTTCAATAGCCCCTGATGTACTTATAAAGACTTATACATGGTTATGAGACACAGATTAAGTAAGCAAACTGAGACTAGTTTAAAATTAATTCTGTCTTGAGCTGAACTCTTTCTTTCACTTTATAAGAATACTAATTTTATGAAAATGTCCTCTACAAAGATCTTATCCAGAAAGAAAGGTTCACAGGAGGCCCCTGTGACTTACTCCATCTTGTGGAGCTGTTTCTTTTTCATAAGGGTAAATACATTTAACATTTCCGTTGTGACCTATTTTTGGATAAGGCAATTTGCCATTTGGTTATGGAGAATAGGAACATCAGTTTCTCTGAAAGCCACCACTTGGTCCCAAGCTTATCTATGTCCCAAGTTCAGCATTTTGATGGTAAATCTTAAATGTGAATCATCTGCTAAGAAGCCTCAATTTCAGCTTTACAGTGACCAAGTTTAATAAAGTAAACTTACTAAACTAAACAGCATTTCAAATTGACTTATTTTCTCATCTCCTAGAGGTAGAGTGAGATGGGAAAGGTTTTTTTTTTTAATTACAAAAGAAAACCAAAAGTTCATTTCCCTTTCAACATTTTGCAAAGCTACAATGAAGATATTTCATTTGGCTTATTGTCATAAAATCTGATGTATCTAACCTCACAATTATAGATAACATAACGTTATGGCCAGGATCTGGGGACCTAGGAGTCTTCCGTGGCCATGGCATGATCCTCTTTCCTGGAGTTCTTGCCCTCACCTGGCAAGGCATGCAAGAGTGGGGTGGGGCTGACTCAAAGCTGAAGATCTCCAAGTACAAAATGGAGAAGTCAGGTCTCCAAAGAACAATGAAGTCAGAAATAAAGTAGTGCAAAGCAAAGGAGTTTTTTTTAATTAATTAATTTTATTGGTACAATTTAAATATACATAATGATCACATTCATCAAAGGGAGTTTGTACCTGTCCATGATATAGCTTGATTCCTCTTTTTCTCCCATTCCCCTTCTGTCGCTTTAATTTTCCCTCCCTGCCATTTACAAAAGCTTTGCTTCCATTTTTTCCTTCTTTTATCAATTTTTTCCCTTTTCCCCCTTATTTACCCTTTCAGTTGTTCACACTGGGGACAACGCAATATTTACACGTGTGTGTCTGATTTATTTCACTTAAGAGTATATTTCTCTTAAGAGTATAGTGAGGGATGTAGCTCAGTAGCTCTGCGCCTGCCTGGCAAGCACAAGGTCCTGAGTTTGATCCCAGGTACCAGTGGGTAAAAACAAAAGAGAGAGAGAGAGAGAGAGAGAGAGAGAGAGAGAGAGGAGGGAGAGGGAGGGAGAGGGAGAGGGAAGCCAAGATTTATTCATAAAATGACAAAGGCGGAAACAAAGCTGCTGTGCAACAAGCAACATGGCAGAGAGAAGTTGGAGTGAACTTCTCAACATGGTGTCCTTGCTCTGATGGTACTTAAAAGGGTTCTAAACCAGTCAGGGGCTTAGCCTTTGTTGGATAAGCTGTTGCTAGGGTGAGCTATTGCTAGGGTAAACAAGGGTTTTAGGAACTTTCCAGTGAATGTTTTATTCACTGGAAAAAAATAACTGTTTTATACCTGCAAAGGTTTACAAAGGGTAGTTTCTAGTAAGCAGGTGGTTGTTTTTATAACCTGCCACATCAACCATGCCACGTTAGCTGCTTCACGCCCTATGCTGTCTCATTCTCCTTTAACTGACCCTATAATAACATTTGTATAAAATTAGCATCTTTCTGTTACATTGTCCAGTTCAATACAAAATTAGTTTGAAACTAGCATCATGTTGCTCACTTGTCCAAAGACACATCCTAGGTAAGTATTGCAAAATACTAAGGTGTTTTCAGAACTTCAGTTTTAATGCATCTGGAGTAGATGAAATGGTCAGTCTACTGTTTTGATCTCATCCAGTAAACACTGTGTCTTTCAAAATGTTAGAATGCACCTTAGCACCAGCTACCAGAAAAAAAATTTCAACAAATGTTTCCATGCAGTGCTGGCATTTTAAAATCCACAGAGCATCAGGACCATTTCAATAAATACATTGCAATAAACCAAATCCAAGACTAAGTCTGATTCCCTCAGTTGAAAAAAAAAATTGACTCGGCATCAAACCAACATGAATTGAGCCCTTAGGCTACTGTAATCAATGACTTGTCTTTACAAAATTCTATATTGTTAGACACAAATGAAAAATTATAGTGAACCCAACATTTTTTCCCTATCTCATCCTCTATCTTCTGAGCTCTAAATCCCATCTTACTATTCAATATCTTAAATTGAACCTAAAGTGAGACTAAAAACTACTGGAGACAGGGAAGGGAACTTGGCTCTATCTGAACTAATTTATAACAGGGAAAGAGTTACCAGATGAAGCAAAGATAGCTCCAAGAAACACAGACTGAGGCAATTGGCATTTAGGACTATGGACAATTCCAAGGAATATTGAACACTATTTTCTTTCACTCACTATATGAAAAGTGAGGTTTATGGAATGCTTTACACCATATACCCTATCATATAGAGCAGCCAAATGACAGGAATAGCAAGTCCTACTGCATCATTGCATCCTCACTAAGAACAAAGAGCAAGTAAGGCAAGATGTAATTTCACAGTCCATGCAATTCCCAACCAGGCCTGTTAGAGAAGACCATCATCATGGACAACACAGAAGGAAGTTTCTAGAGACTCGGGAATCTTCTTCTTTCCAAAAGAACAATCGATTGTAACTAACAATTGTAGACTGTGACAATCACGTTTTCAGAACCTTATTCTTTAGAAGGGGTAGAAGTAAGGTTATAGCCTTCTTCAAAATCCTTGACCCACTGAAAACCATGACTCAATGACACACCAAAGCTCAAAGTTCAAAGGTAAATATCCTCACATTGTCCAGAAATCTTCCATCTGGTATTTAACTAAGACTCTATATTCTCAAGGAAATGTAAGCTTTGCACAGTGGCAGTATCATAGCTAATGAGGTTTATCCAAGGCATGATTATTGCTAATTGAAAATTTTTCTAATGAAATGTAAATTTAAAACATATGAAAACTTTCCTCAAGGAAATGTACATTTAAAACATTTAAATAATTTAACTGAAATATGTAAACTTTCATGTTAATCCAGGGTAAGATAAAACTTTGATATCCCCACCTCCTTTGCTCATGAAATAGTGGATAGTTTTTATCTGGTTTTGGGGGGTTTTCTTGGCTTTGACTTTCCACACACACTATGCTTTGTTTTAGGCCTCCCAGACCTGTACCCAGCATGAACGATACCCTGTTCTCCCACTCCGTTCCCTCCTCAGGAAGTCCCTTTATTACCAGGAGGTAAGTTCTAATCCTACTTCAGTAATGAGTCTTGATTCTATAGCAAGAAAAGTATCATATTGTAAGTAAGTTGCAGAAGATTATGGTTAGAAACTAGATTGTAAATATCCATAAGATATTCAATTTTATTCATTTGGTTACATCTAAAGAGGGCTGGAGTGGCTTTAGAAGTTAATGTCACTCCTAAAAATCTGCATTTGTAATCTCCCCAAATTAAGGATGTGGGGTATGTTTCATATTTACTATTGAAATACCTGCATTCTGTCTCACTGGGAGAATCCTGGTCATGTACTTAAAGTGGGCTGTTGACACCAGGCAATTGGAATTTCCAGATGCAATGAAATATTATTATACAGATTCTTAAATATCATGATTTCAGTCTCCAGATATAAAAGAATCTCCTTCCCAGTGAACTTCAGAGTTCCTGGGGCTAAAAGCTGAAGACCAAACTTAAAAAGGTAGTTTCCATAAAAGTAATTTCATGAATAATAGCAAGAACTTCAAAGATAGTGATTATGTGGCTCACCTCTGTGCACAAGATCCCCTTTGTGAACAAAGAACAGGAGAAGTATATACTTCTCCAACAGTTAGATTTGAAACACAGGGCTCAAGAGGTGCTCTGAGTCATTTGATCAAATATTAGGAATCAAGCACCAAAGAATTCTTTACAAATACATAGAGAAGACTCACAGGAAAGGATGAACAAAGGTAAGGAAAATTAGAGTAATGGAATGTAAGATCGCAAGGGCTTTCAGCAGGGAAAAAAAAAATACAGCCTCATATTTTACAAAACGCACATAATCCACTCTTTTCCTGGAGAGATTTTTAAAGTGCCAGTTTCACTGTAGTATCGTGGTATATTCTACTGAAGATTTGAAGACAGTGACACTCAACATATTGCTCATTTTTCCCTGCATTTCTATATGTATTTGCCAATCAATAAGAACCTGAGATGAAGATGTTCCTCATAATTGTCATAAGCAGAATAAAGGGAATGTGGCAGTACATGGTGTTGCCATAAATTAAATCTGTAACCCGTTGGAAATGAGGAGCCAGTGGTACTGAAGCACATCCACAGTGGAACAGTCTAATTGAGGCCCTCAATAACTTCCCATTAGCACTTCCTTCAGAACATCAGCAAACGCAACCATCCTTCCTGAAAGAAAATCATACAGTATAGAGGCCAGTGCATCTATCTAGGGGAGATCTGATATGATGTTTAAAGTTGTGCTTTAATTAGGAAGCTCTGCATTCTGCAAATGCCACGCGGAGGTAGACCCCATCCTTACTGAAGGTCGTTTTATATCATTTCAGCTCGGGCGGTGCTTATGGTGGATGCATCTAGATGGATAACATGACTTCCTCTACTCTAAAATATTCCTCTAATACTTTGAGCTGTTCTGCTTCCTCCAGGGTGCATGGTACCCAAAATATAATCATTTCCCTTTTTCCCATTTTCAGTCCTTTTGGCATGTTTTCTGTGAACTACAGACATGTTGTTTAAAGCTTGCAGTTCTTCCTATCACCACGGAGACTGGACTCCAGGTTCTGTTTTGACAGTGCTGTTGAATAAAACTGCGTACACTGAACGCCCTTTTGCTCTGAGTGGGCTTTGCTCTGTTCATGGGAGATTGTAATGAGGTCTCCTTATTTGCATCCCTCAGGTTACCTGAGGGGATAAGCACAGCCAGCCCTGGGGCTGAAGAGCATTTGCTCATAAGGATGTATGTTAATCAGCTTGCCCTCGGTACCTGGTCAGTATCCCAGTAGCCCTGAATCATTAATCTTAGCAGTAGCTCCATAGCTAGATGGCTCCTTGTTCTACTGTAGCACTAAAATCCTCTTGCATGTCTTAGTGGAGATGGAGGTCTTGGGGCTTTATTGAGATTCTGTTGAAAATTTCAACCTGGCCTGGATTTCTGGGATCTTTCTTCTTCTCACTTGTTTTATAATTTCATAACTTCATACTAGTACATAGGAGGTGCCTATATGTCAAGAGTACTAGGAGTACTTAGTGCAAACTCAGTGAGGCTAGGAACTTATTGCAATGAGAGACTTGAGGACCAAGCAAGCCTTAAGACCTTTCTGCCCCACTAGGACAGGACCATACTTATCCCCCAAGTAGGATAGTCTGATTTCTTTTCTTTTACAAACCAAGAAAGTAAATTTATTTAAATTACTAAAATAGCTTTTACATATCAGCAGCTATAATTATTTTTCCTGAAAGATAATAAGTAACATATTATTTTAAAATTGTTTGGTTGACAAACATTTTATAAAAACATTTGTTTCTCCATATAACCTGTATAAAATAATTCTCAAAATTTTGTCTTATAATCCTTTATAAATCAGATCATCTGCCTTCTGATTGTTAGGAACAAATTATAGTAAGGGGGTATACATTTATGAATGCTGGTAATTCTAGTGGAATGAAATCAGACCACACTTACTATAAGTTGTGAGGCCCTCAAAGGGTAAATGAAGCTGGTGTCATGCTCTAGTCCTCTAAAAACAGTAGGGATAGTCTGATTTCTACAAAAGTGTCAATTTCAAAACCAGTTTCTTACTATTGAGGCTTAACTTCTACCACTTGATAATGCTGCTAGTGATCCACTCTCCTTTCCTTGGTACATTGACACTAAGGTTGATAGAAATGCTTCAAGCCAGACAAGGGAATAAGTAAAAGATCCTATTCTTTCTATAACTGGAACTAACTTAAAGAACTATGATCAAGAGCTCTATCCTCATTTCCACTGCCCCTTTTAAAATTGAATGAAACCTAAACAGGCCAGGAATAGTTCTGGCCAATATTATGGTAACAGTAACAAAGTGGAAAACTTACTGTGCAGATATCTTGTCTAGCCTGGGGTGTCAGTCTTCTGCATGGTGACTTCGAAATCAGAGGTCTTAGAAAGACAAAGCAGAGTGAGGAGAACTGCAATCAATGCTGTGAAATCCTCATTGTAATCTCTTGGCATTACTCCCCTATAGCCCTTTACAAGCCTACTACTTTGATCTTCAAAAGGCACTAGGGTGTATCTCTGAAGTCTTTTGACATCCTAGTATCTACCTCACACAGATTTATGAGTGTGTACCTCTGGTTACCACCATCTGTCATATCCCCTTCTAACCTTTTCCAGCTATATACTTGATTCACATTTCCATTACCTAAAAGTAAAGAAGGAATTCTCAAAGGCACTCTTCCTTAGTCCTTTGAAGTCTTCTTGCTCTGTGTATATGTCTTTGTCTGTGTGCATGTGAGTGTGTGCATGTGCACACACATCCACATATGTACACTTAATGCTGGTTAGCAGGTAGGTGAGATGCAGGCCAAATGACATAATTCATTGACCAATTTACTTCATTCATTTTCTTGACCTTAAACCATATTCCTAAACCTAGATTGTTTGCTTGTAAGTTTATAGGAAAGAATGGGTGGATCCATGGAAATCTATCATCTCTAGAAAAAGAGCTCCAAAAGCTAAGCATGGCACATCAGCAATATTATCTAAGCTTATAAAAGATAGCAAAGGCTTATTGCAAATGTTATTGCAAGGACTGACCACCAAAGCCCTCAAAATGCCCTTTCTCCTCTTCAGTGCCCACAGCATTATGCTTCTGAGGGTCTACTCTTTGTTGGCATTAAGGCTTCTTTGTAATAATCTCACTTATCTTGCCAAAATCCTTGCCTTGTTTATATGAGAGAGTTAACTAGTCTTTTCCTATGTTAAATGGGCTTCTTTAATTACGGCCCATCTTCTTCATTTGCCATGATAAGGACACTGAAAGTTTGAAGAGCTACTTTCTTTGCCTCCAATTTTAGAAACATTGCTTAAAAGTTTCATAGGCATGTTCATTGCTGCAACTTCTGAAGTGGTAACCACTCACAAAAAGAATCATTTTGCTATTATATATAGCACCTAGCAGATCCTCTTGCTCTATAAAATATTAGAAAATTGCTTCTAATTCATGTAGTGTGTTGAATACAGTCTAATACATATGCTCTTTTCTGGTTTGTCACAGCACAATGTGTTACTATTGAAACTGTAGTAGGTTCTTTGGTACATATGGGAAAGACCCACCCCAAGCACTTTCCAGATGTTAATTCTTCCCAGTGGAGCAGTATTGTGGATTATTTTTGTTGGCTGACTGGGTAGTCATTTGGTTGCCTGGTTTAAGTTTTATCCAAGGAAAGGCTGATTCATTGTGTATTTTTTCAGGTTTTTTTCAAACACTTTTACTTACACAAAGATTCTTTACCTAACAACCCAGACTTTAAATCTGGCTTTAAATGTTTAAACTAAATTTTAAACATTTGTAATTTGGTTATCAAAAGTGACTAGAAATAAAGTTAAGACACCGAATTCACCTTTTGCTTCCAGTTTTCTCCATGGCTAATTTTTCTGAGATTAAAGCCCATCCAATTCCAGACATAAAAGTACACTTATAAATCAACATCTGGCACCACCCTGAACGTTTCCTCAGTCTTTTCACACTGCCTGGCATGCTATGTGAAACTTGAAACAATCATCTCTGCAGATAACGTTTATTTCATATAGCCTGTAGCTCCATTTTTATGCTAGATTTTTTCCAAACTTGAATTAACCTAGTCTTCACACCCAATTCGAGCAATTTCCTATATTAACCTGCGGGTGACTTATAAATAAAACCATACTTGTCTTTCTTCTTAACTTCATTAACCTTTCTACTTTTACTAGAATGCTTTAGTCAGTTTCTGCACATGCCCTGTACCTGGTGCCAGAGTATTCTACGTATAGGCTCTCTTAGCAAAAATACAATTGGTATGACTTGATAATATTGGGGAACAATGTAGTAAATGTGATAAGTCAAATATGACCAGAGAATTCGTATTTCTTCCATAGTACCTGTTCAAGATGGTTCAGCATTTGTACTAGTCTGAATTGATGGGCAGCTAATTTTCCTTACGAGACACTAGCTTATCTTTTAAGTGTGTTTACTGATTTGCAAATAGCAGATATTTTATATTTCGTATCTAAGCTATTGAACACTAGACAAGAAAAGGGAAACAAAATGTTTCAAGAAATTATCTCTTGAAAAGATTGATTCATAGATTATTTTATTGTACTTAAGTTAGCTTAATGGTCTTATTACTGGACAAGGTAAATTATAGTGAGATGCAGAATCTTAATTCACAATTGAAATTTACCTAAGAAGGGAGCCAACTTTACAAGTTATTCTTCGCAAGTTCAAGTACCACACAAGTTAATCAATTTTTTAACAATTAATAGAAATGAAATCATCTGTCTTAATTTGCCATGACTGAAATATTACTTTCATTTTCATCATTGTGGAACCAACTATTCCACATTACATAATTTGTTGACATAATATTCTTGCTTTCTATGGCTAAATCCAGGTCTTTAATACTGTGCTCAATAAAAGAAAAAAATCTTTGACCAGGGTCAATATAGTGACACAACAGAAACAGAAAAGTGGTTTGCTGTTGTTTTTTTTTTTTTGAAAAGGCATCTCAAATTTAAGCAAAGATCCAGGAAATATTTTGTGTAGTTCTGTTACATTAGAACAGACAAAACTGTTTCTACTAAAGTAAAAATTCTGGCATCAGTTGTCACCCTTCAAAACAAAGGAGAGAGTTTTAAAAAAAATAACTATGAAACATTTTGAAATTGTCCTGTTGTCTATGGCCATACCACCCTGAATGCACCCAATCTCATCTGAAATTGTCCTATCTTCTCAAAACTCATTGTGTTATTGTATTTGTGTATGTGTATGCATAAAATATTTGGAAGAAGCCTATTTATTATTAGATACGCTATTTTCCAGAGGGTATTTAGCTTAGTGGTGCTGTGCCTGCCTTGCAAGCACAAGGTCCTGAGGGTTTTTTTACCAAAAACAAAAAAAATTGTCTAAAGGAATTGTCTCTGCCTTTCGGCTTTTGGCATAACACACAAACTTCTGTTTGTGTTTACTGTTCTTCCATCCAGGGACTCCAGCAATGATAATATGTTTGCAGGGGGATGTATTTATATCTCGGCGAGGGCTTGATGGAAAGAAAATGAGAAATGTTGAAATACAATTTGGGGATGGTGGTCTTGCTCAGAAAGATGTATCCACCAAGTGAAGGGGAGCTCTAAGCAGTTCCTAGCTTCAGAGGTTAAGGGAAGATTGTGTTTTGATTTGAGTGAAGGGCGTGCAAAAAAAGGGACACCTTTTGAGCTCTAGCTGAAGTTGTATGAAAGGCAGTGTTGATTCTGATGCACTGATAGCCTGGAAGCACTCATTCTGGAGTGAGAAAGTAAGTTCTATGTACCTGTCCCCAAAGCCCACAGTCATTGAGAAATATCACTTCACTTCTCCATGCACACTCTCAAGCTACAAAATGAGTGTTTGAAAATCTAAATTATTCTTATAATGGTGTGAGAATACATTGCCTTGAAGACATCATACTAAACTACATATTGTCACTATCTTCACAACAATACAGGAGGAAAAGATACTCACTTTTCTTCCCTTCTCCAAGATCCTTCAGAGCTGCAGAAGAGTTTCTAGTGGAAGGAATGTTATATAAAAAGGACTTTAAAGACTCATGTTTAAAGTGAATCCTGCCTCCCAGTCAACCCTCTAAGTCCTTGGCCACCATGTCATTTTGAGAGTGGCTGTTTTTTCTTTTTGTCATCCACTTGGTTACCTCTATTTTTGGCTATCTAAAAGCTAGTGATAAGAAGAATTTGAATTTAGTGCTAGGAAGTATAGAAAGTATGTTAAGAGTGAACACCAAAAGTCAGAAATGCTCCTGGCACTAGAAATCAAGAGCTATAGCAAAACAAAATAATTTATTTCCACAAGCTCAAAAATGCATGTGGTGTCACTTTATATTTTCCTGGAACTGATTTTTCCAAGAATTTGTGTGTAAGGGAAAGGAAAATAAAAGCATTTAAATTATTCCATGAAACCAATATTGCCAAAGGTCAATGAAAAGAAAATAATAGAAAGAAAAGTGATGCATATACATAACTATGTGTTCAATTCTTTGACGGAGTAAGGGGCCTAGAGAAAAAGAAGAAAAAGAGGGAATAAAGGTAAATGGAGGAGAAGAAAGAAAAGAAGAGCCCAAAGAATTGAAAGGAAAGAAAAAATGAAGCCACCAAAGGAAATCTAGCCAAGTGCGCCTTCCTGTCACCTGTCACTGTGTGACACTCACATCAGCAGGGCTCCTCTGGCTTGTAGAGAGACAGAGAAGTGGAAATAGCTTTACTGACTCACCTACTTCCTCCCATAAAGCATCCCTGCGATAATTTGTAGCAAACATATCTTCACCGTTGATCTTTTGTGTTTCTTTTCTCTATTGCTTCACCATACCCAGCCTCATCCTGCTGATTGAACCCAAGGCCTTTACACTGAGTTACATCCCCAGTCCTTTATTTTTTATTTTGAGACAGGATCTCACTAAGTTGCCCAGGCTGGGCTCAAACTTTTAGTCCTCCTGCCTCAGCTTTGCCTGATACTGGGATTACAGGCATGTTCCACTCTGCTTCTTTCTTTTTATCTTGTATATTTAGCATCTGTGGATGTACCCATGAAATTAGGCTTTTGGTTTAAGGAAAATTTTCTGGAATTCAAAGATGAAGTAAGTACAACAAGGCAGGAAAGTCATTTAGTTTGGAAGGAAGAATAATTGATATATTTCAGAAAGTATTTTGAATGATTCTCCAGGCATCTAAAATCAATTATGCAATAGCTACATCTACCTTAACTTAAAGTTAAAAAAAAAAGTTGGTGAGTTTCTTGGGCAGCAGAGAGACTGTAGTTACTGAATAATGAACATATAGAGACTGGTTTCAGTAAACAGAGTTTGAAGTACTGAGATAATAGAACATCTCAGAAAACATCCAACATTAAAGGGGTAAGGTGGTTATTGGCCCTGATGTCCAGGTTTTATAGTATTAGAAGACAAAGATCAATATGCTGAAAAACATTTAGTCTATTAAGAAAGTAAATTCTCCTAAAGCATTAATCTAATTGATTGTTTTAAAGTTGTGGTGCTCCATTGCTGAGCATGTTGACTATAGTTCATCATAATAATGCACTGTATATTTCAAAATTGCTGAAATAATAGAGTTTAAATATTATCACCACAAAAAATAAATATGTGAGATGATGGATAGTTAATTAACTTGATTTAATCATTCCATAATGTATACATACATCAAGACATTACATGTACCCCCATACTCTATTTTAAAGTCAATTTTGTGCACAGTTTGTACTTTTTAAACACAATAATTCTTCCTGTAATAGATGTCTTTGTGAAGGGCTGAATGAAAATGTCATACATTTAACAAACATGATTGACTATTCTTTCCTAGGCATTTTCCTTATAAATAAAATCTGATATAAATTTACCAGCGATTTCACTATTTAAGGGATCCTTAGTATATAATATTACAAAACAAGAATTTTAACTATAACATTCACAGCTCTAAAGTGATATGTATTTATAAATTTGCTTTTAGTATTTCAGCCTGAGAGAGTGGTACTTTCTCATAGTACAAACTTAAACTTTTAATTAAAAGTTTAATAAGATTTTAACTATTTTATAAGCCTACAAAGATACACAGATATAGATTTGAGTTAAACTTTCTAGGAAATTGTGGAAAAACATCATAATTTAGATCTCACTAGTTAAATATTTGGCATTCAAAATGGATGTTTTATTTTTGTATTTTTTTATGATAGTTCAGGTGGTAGTGTTAAGTATACCAACATGTAGGGCAAATTCATAACCTTCAAAGGAGCAAACTCTAAAAAAAAATACATGACCAATTCAATTGTAATACCAAGAACTAACAGCATATTTCCCAGTGAAGCATCGCAGTAGATCTTGGGTAGCTTAGACTTGACCACACGTAATTAATCATCACTTATATTTCTACTTATATTTTAATAAAACCACATTTTAAACTTTAAAATTATCATTTAATTGCTAAGTCAAATTAATATTTTTCATAATGAATCTAAAATGTTAAGAATTGCTTTACTGATGGAACCGCTTCACTAGTTCTGCATTGATATTGACATAACTATGACTATATTTATAGACCTTCCAGATGTGTTTCTCTGTTTCTCTGAAAGCTTCCCTTATAGCTTCACAGCCAAGTTCAGGTGACTTGCACTCAGAGTAGAAAACACGTCTAATGTAGCAGCCATCTGTAGGTAATTTTCAAGTCTCTATTCAACACAGCTGGAGAATTTAAGAAAGGCTGAGAAACTCCTTGAGTGAGATCTAAAAGCTGACAGGACTTAGTGAACTACTGGACTGCTTACACCACGATATCCTGTAATGAATGTTGAAAGAATTTTCATGATGTCTAGACTTAGGCACTGTGGATGCTTGCTTATTAAGCAAATAGCAGAGGTCAGATCCAGGAATAAGTTAGCTTTGTGAAATTGTAACTATGGTTCTCAGGCCAGGTTTTTACTCCTATCTGAATTCTGTGGAAATCTGAAAACATCCTGTTCATTTCAAAATAGTAAGAGATCTTTCCAAATAGAGCTTGGACATAGACTTGGGAGTTTCTGTTGCCAGTTTCTATTCTCAAATCTGTTGCTGTGTTTAAGCTCTTCTTGGCTTTCCCATCTTATTAACTAGCTCTCCTCCCAAGGACAGTGAAGTAGAGCAGAACAAAATGCTGGCTAGGGCTGCTCCAGCTTTTCTGAAGGGCAAAGGGTAAGTTAAATCCAGAGTGTACTGGAACCCTGAATTAACTAAACTAAAAATGGAGTTTCTTTCATTAAACCTGCTGTGTGTGAAAGCCTATCTCTGATTTAGTAAAAGCAGCACTATCATAACCCAGTTAACAGTGCCACATAGTTATTTCAAGTGGACACATCTGTTGTGTTATTCACTTTTCCTGATTTCCTTTTTCTTCTTCGTTTAAAAGACTAATCTGATGATTTGGTTTTCCGTGATACTTAATCTTTGCTTGCAACCTTTTGCTGTACAGATGAATTCCTTAGCCTTAAGGGTTGAAGAATGCAAATTTATTTTCTAAAAGGTTTTTCAGCCTAAACAGAAGTCTTTGTTTTAAAAGGTAGCAAAATGAAATTGTGGATTTTATTGCTTGGATTTTGCTTGTGTTTTTCACAGAACTTCACTTACATTCTTCCTTTATTGGCTTGGTTTTCTACATGCTTTTTTATCATGAACTCACTCCTACTTTCTCGGCTCCTTTCTGTACATCTTCTTAACAACTTTCTTTCCTCCTGCCCCGTTTCAGGATACAGTACAGCCTAAATGTGGCAGACAGGCTAGCTGATGAACATGTGCTCATCGGGCTGTATGTCAACATGCTCCGGAACAACCCATCATGGTTAGTGCAGGCTTGGCTGCTTGACTGTCCTTAGAGAAATGATGTGAACTAGTGACAAGCAGTCCTGGCAAGAGACAAATCCCTGCATGAAATAGATGTGTCACCGAGGCACTTTTTACCTAATTCAATTGGGAAGTCTTTGGGGATGTTAGTTTGAATGCTTCCCATTAATATACCATAGAACTCATATTCTCACTTATGTCTTAATTATGTTTAAAACCTTTGTGAATGGAAATGTTAGTATGTAGGTACATGCAGAATTCTGAGTCCCAACAGTCCATCCTCTGTCATGTATTATGTCATACTACAAGATCATGAGGCAAGAATTTGTCTTATTCCAAGGACATGTCTCTGCTGATATGGGAAACAATCCTTCATTTCAGTTAAGACAGAAGTAAAAAAAGAGGGAAAGTAATGTGATGGGATCATAAAATGGAAATCATTTCTCTAACAGTGATAATTATGAGAGAAACTGTATTTCAACAATTCTGTTACTTAAAAATGTGTCTGAGTAACTATGCTGCTGAAGCCTGCTTTCAAGACCTGGAAATGCAAAGTTTACTCTTATGTTTGTGAAGTTTAGCAATTCAAATAGGCATTCATGAAGGATAAATGCATTCATAAAATGTTTCTCTATATTAATTTTGACATAGTGTCTTAGTTAATTTTCTGGATGCTGAGACAAAATACCCAACACCCAAAGTTAAAGGAGGAAATGTTTATTTGGCTCACAGTTTGTAGAGGTTTCAGTCCACACTTGGCTAACTTCAAGGCAAGATAACATCAGATGGCCATCACAGAGGAGAAACACTCATGGCAGGCAGAAGGCACCAAACACAGCAAGCCACAAGCAACAAGCAGTACCCACAGCAGCCCTCTTTCTGTCCTTTATATTCTACCCAGTCTACTCACCCTTAGGGTAGATAGCAATCACACCCAAGGTGAGGCACCCTTAATCCTTGGATCATACCATGAATCAATCCCAGCATCACACACTCTAGATCTAGCCACCTCTGAAAAGCTCCATCTATGACCACCTGAGGCTTTGGTGGGACACCTAGATACAAGCCATAACATTCCACCTCTGACCCCTAAAAGACTCATGTATATACATTTATGCATAAGGCTTTCACTCCATCTCTAAAAGTTACCAAAGTCCTAATGATTTCAGCATTGCTGAAAGTCCAAGGCCAAAGTCTCCTCTGAGCTTTAAGGCAAACTCTTAGCTGTGAGCCCCTGTACAAATGAAAAGAAAGTTAAACACTTCTAACTTACAATGGCATAAGATAGATATTTCTATGCCAAAAGGTGCAAGCAGGGGCACAGAAAGGAATGGGACCGAAATAAGTCCAAAATCCAGCAGGGCAAACATTAAGTCCTATAGTTTCACTACCAGTATCCAAGGCAGTCTGTGGCAAGATGTGAACTCCAAAGGGCTTGGCTGACTCGGCCCCTATGGCACTGCAGGTGGGTATAGCTCCCACAGCTTCTCTCTTCAGCCAGTTTTGCTCACTCCTCACAGTTTTCCGCAGATGATCCATTTTTCTGACTTCTCCAACCTTCTGGTGCCTCCGCTGTACCTTTGGCTTCAAACTCGCAGTTTCACACACTGCCCTCTGAGGAGCACACTGCCTGGTCTCCAATGCCTTCTTCTGAAATCTGGGGGAAGCCTTCCTGACCCCACAACTCTTGCATTCTGCATGCACCTAACACCAGAACTATGTGGATGATGCCAAAATCCACTACCACCTGGAGCAGTAGCCAGGCTTCCTTCTCTCTTGGCCATAGGGCCTGAGTCCCAGGATCACTGAGCACTCTGAACCTAATCCCAAGGAACACATTCTCTAAGCTGCTACCATTCTGAAACATAGTGCTCTATAGCTGTCTTCTCAAAGTAAATTCTTTCACTTTTGCAGCACAGAGGCTGCAAAACGAGTCATGTTGTTTCTTGTGATGTCCTCAGGCCATCTTTTCTATTCTGTTCCTTCTTAGCACCCAAGTTCTCTGCTCTGTCTTTACAGTCCGTAGCTTTCCTGGAGTTTCCTTTCTGGTCAACTCAAAACATTTTAAATCACCTGCTCTTGATTATCAACATAAATCTGGCTAAATGCCCTCAGCAAAAGCCATGCCACCACTTCAACATTAAACTGCTTTGAAATTTCCTCTGCCAGATTAATTAGTCTGCTGCCCTTAATCTCAGTCTCAGGCAAATTCCCTGGACAAGAGCAAAATATAGACAAATTTTATGCTAGAGCATAATACACATGATCTAGAGTTCAACAGCCAATGTAGTCCTTCCTCCCAACAGACACCTCCTGGGCCTGGTCTTTACCAGCAGCATATCTATCAGCATTCTGGTCTTCTGAGCTCTGACCAGAATCTCCCATCAAGTACAGTTTAATGCATTCCAAAGCTGCTTCTTCAGATGGCATCTTCAAATCTTTCCAAACTCTTCCCACAGCCAGTTCCAAAGGCTCTTGAACCACATGGCCAAGTAATGTCACAGCAATGGCCCCACTTCCAGTACCAAATTATATCTTAGCTAGTTTTCTTGTTACTGAGACAAAATACGCAACACTCAAAATTAAAGGAGGAGAGGTTTATTTGGTTCACAGTTTGTAGAGATTTCAGTTCATAGTTGCTGGCTCTAAAGCAGGGTAAGATGGCAGAGGGGCTTCACAGAGGAGAAACAGTCATGGCAGGCAGAAGGCAGCAAACACAGCAAGCAAAAAGCAGTGCTCACAACAGCCCTCTTTCTGTCCTTTATATTTTACCCAGGCTACCCACCCTTAGGGCAGATAGCAATCACACCCAAGGAGGGGCACCCTTAATCCTTGGAGTCAATCCCAGTATCATATCCTTAATGCCAGCATCACACACTCTAGATCCAGCCACCTCTGAAAAGCTCTACTTATGACTGCCTGAGGCTTTGGGGGGACATCTAGATATAAGCCATAACACATAGGTCATTGGCTTAAGTTACTTGCTTTTAATAATAAATGTGCATTTGCAATTTGAATAAAAGTTTGTATTATCAAACTAGTTTCAACTACTGCTGTACAAACAAGTGAGTCTTTGGAAATATTTTAACTTTAGCTTTAATTTTCTCTGAACTAAGGACCCATGGATTTTCCAGGGTTATATCTATTGAGTGGGACAGTGGGTTAAATCTCTTTTAAAGTGGTTCACACCTTTAGCATCAGGTTCCTTTCCTCTTCTATTTCATAAAGGCATTCCTCAAACATGATCACTATCGCTCGATACCATCGCCACACTACTTTAGGGTTGTAAGAGTCTTTGTTTCTAGAACTCTTTCCTTCCTTGACTCTTTCCAAAGCTCTTCCCATTGCTGACCTTTCTGACACCTTTGACCTAATTTTGCAAGATTGAGTAAGACCATAGTTAGATTTGGTGAATTCTTTACTATTTATTAGTTTTAATAGATATATGACACATATACTAATTTTTGCATTAAAAAGTATAACAAGCACACTAGTTTAATTTTATCCTTTTTTACTCTTCAGCTGATCTAAGCCACTCACTTTGTTCAAATTTCCTGAGCTTCTAGATTTAATAATTTCTACTATATTATTACTCACTCTCTCAAAACCATGATTGCTTTAATCTTACTCCCAACAAATTTGTAATATGGTAGGTGAGAATAAAACTAAATTCTGAATTACAAAATCAGCACATCAATAATCTTCCAAAATACAGAAGACGGTGATATGATGGCACTGTTTCCTCTCCCCTGTAATTCCAAGCACATCCCAGTCATTTCCACCACTCTTCTTTGACCTTTTATTAACCAAGGTTGTAACAAAGAAATCTCCAAAGAGAAAAAAGCTCAGAGTTTGTCACTACCAGCCATTTTTCCTACTCAAGCGATTAATCATATTGCCTTGATGGTCACTTAAGACCATTAAACAGTCTCAGCAGAGGCACCTTACATCTGCCTGATAAAGGCTTCAATGGGATTTGTATTCTGAAAACAAAGCAGGGTGTAAGACTGATAAATGAGGCAAACTCCATCTGAGTACCTGCTTTCATATCCTTTATAGCTTTTTTTTCTGTTCTTAAGAAGTTCCAACTTCTTCAAATTTGTCATTTCCCCTTTCCTTTCCCTTTTTTGTTTAATTGGATCCTAACAATTTCACAAACCTATCTTGATTATATAAACAATACAATAATCTCTCACTTTCTTCACCATCATTATAGTTATGATGCTTTAACATCATTCAATTATGGTAAAATATATAATAGTAATAATCATAGTTACTCTTTTTTAAAGTACTTGTCTCATGGCAAGTTTGGTGCCAAAACTTTATATACTTGATTTCTCCTAGTCCTTAGAATAACCCTGTGGAGTTAATATGATCATTATCATTTTATAGATAAAGATATCATTTTAGTAACTGTACCTGACTTTCCTACAGTCACACAACTGCTAGGCAATGAGCAGAGTATTTAACTGTTATCCAACCAAGTTCACAACTACTATGCCACAGGACTTCTTATAAAACCTGCATTAACACATGCCTTCCAGAAAGCATTTGTGGGTTACTCCTCCACTCTCCAATCTTCATGTGTTTGTTTACTCACTTAATGAATTACGGAAACTATATTATTGTTTCTTTTTTTCAGTACTGGGGATTGAACCCAGGGCCTTGCTTTACCATGGAGCTACAACCCCAGCACTTTTATTTCCTTTAAACAAATATTTTGAGTACATGGTATTAATAAGAATGGTAGTTATTAATGAGTTACCTTTATAAATTTAGTTCTATAAGTTTGACTCTTCATTTTAATGTTAAGCTGCAAAAAACGCAAAAGTTTTGTCTTTAGTCTCTTTTACCTCATCAAAGAATCAAGAATAGGGAAAAATAAATTCTACATTTATGGAGTGCTTCAAAAATTACAGAGCTCTTGCCCACATGTTATTTAATTTGCTTCTTCACAGCTCTAGAAGTTTGGATGGAGTAATTTCCATTTCAGCAATA